CCGGGAGGAGACCCGGGAGGGGCTATGGGGACCCGGGAGGGGACACGGGAGGGGCTATGGGGACCCGGGAGGAGACACGGGAGGGGCTAAGGGGACACGGTGGAAGCGGGAGGGCGGCCCGGGACGGGCCGGGACACAGCGGGACCTGGAGGGGCTGTGGTACAACGAGGGGAACGCGCAGTGAAGAAATCTTTTCCTCACATGCAGCCTAAAGCTCCCCGGACACAGCTTGAGGCCATCCATGTCCTCTCATCCTTCCTTGTCACCTGGGGAAGAGAACGATCCCAGCTCCCCACACCCTCCTGTCAGGGAGCTGTAGAAAGGGAGAAGGTTCCCCCCCTCAGCTCCCTCAGCCACTCCTGGTGCTCCAGCCCCTTCCCCAGCTCTGTTCCCTTCTCTGGACATGCCCCAGCCCCTCAATGTCTCTTTTCTTCTGCTGGGCCCAGAACTGCCGGCAGGATTCGAGGTGTGGCCTCAGCAGTGCCCAGCACACACAGTCACTGCCCTGCTCCCGCTCGCCGCTCTGAGGCACTGAACAGGCCGCACTAGTGCTGGAGTTACCAACCCTGAAGTGTCCAAGGAACTACTGGAGGTGGCACCTGGGCACATGGTTCAGTGGTGGACTTGGCGGTGCTGGGTTAACAGGTGCACTTGATGATCTTAAAAGTTTTTTCCAGCCTTAAGGATTCTATGATTTTCTGATTCCAGGGCTGAGGCCAGGCATACCAGTCATCCACAGGCATGAGCCTGAGGTTTTCCCTCTCATTGTGAACACATGCCTCACATATTCACAGTCAGAGAGGTGTTCAGCAGATCCAAGGTGCTGCTGGAATTGTGGTGTTTCACTTCTCTGCTATGAACAGCTTCATTTAAACACAGCATTGCTGTGACAGCACAGGATGTGCCTTCGGAAGTGTGTTTAGGCCTTCCTGAGGTTTGAAGTCATTGTGGCAACTTTGCAGAGAAATGACTTCTAACAGGATTCCCACTTAGCTTGCACTAATTCTGTTACCATAGTCTTGAAAATAAGAGAGTACATACCTTAAAAAGCAAAATAACCCCAACCAAACCAAAACCAAACAACCAAAGAAAAACCCCAAAACCAAAACAAGCAACCAAATAAACAACAACAAAAAATAGGAAAATATTAAATCACCCCTTTAGTGGTAAATATATTTTAAAAAGTTATTCTTGAACACTGAAATCCAGTGCTGTTTCTCAAATAAAACTATCAATGCAGGGAAAAGTACAAAATTTGGAGGTGTCCAAATCACACTCAGTTGGGGAAAAAAAATAATCATTCCAAAGACCAATGGAATAATAATCTTTGTCCAAAGACAAAGGCCAATGTTGCAGGACTGGAAATTTCTTTTGTTTGACATGTAATCAAGAATTTGTCATCAACAGGACTTAATGTCATGTTCTTTCCAAGAAGGGGAAAGATGTAAACAAGTGAGCTGAGTCTTGAGAGGCAAAGAGGCACCAAAGGGTCCTGTGGCAGCCAGGAGCGTGGCAAAGCAAGAGGACAGTGATGAATAAACATCCATCAGCACTCTGGTCTAGAAAAGAGCTTTAAAAAGCTTTAAAAACATGTGACTCCACTGTCCAGGCTGCCTCCTGGGATGGCACATGCCAGGATTTGCATAAGAATCCTGTGGCTCAGCACCTCTCTGATTGGAAAGGGCACCGAGTTACAATTTCCTGTTATCCCTTATGGAACCTCTGCTCCGGTTACTCATTCTAATGGAAGCAGGAGAACACACCCTGGGTGACAAATTCATCTGAGCCACTCCCAGACCTTTAGTCAAACCAGATCACATGTCAGTCACCTCATATTTTGGGAGGAAAAAGTCACTGTGGTGAAATTGGGAAGGCACTGAAACTGAGCCTGTGCTGGCTGCAGCAAGGATTCGCCTCCCCTTGGGCATGGCCAGCACCACTCACGGTTTGTCCCATCCCAAAAACACTGAACTCAGCACTGAAAGCCAGAGTGTAATTTTAGGAGCTCATTTTAAGGGGTTCGTTATGTTGATTCACACAAATGACCCTCTGTAAGACAGGAGCCACCAGCACTCTCAAAAAGCAGTTCCAGGAGAAAACTGGAGTGAGTTTGTTCATGTGATATCTGCAGATCTGTCACTCTCTGTGCCTCTCCACAATTAGTTCACTTTATTTTAAATGCAGAAGCTGTTTTGAGAAGCTAAATTCTGCTCCCCTGTGACGTTTCAGGATAAAGAACTGGAGGACAAAAATGGAAGTGCAAAATGCCATAGTAAAGAAGTTCTTTCTATTTTTTCATTGGTTTCATATTTTTCACGAAGGACTCAGAACAAAAAACTGAGTCTCACATAAACAATTCCAGAGCTTTACGGTGGAACTCTGGATGACGGTAAATGTCAGAGATATTCTGAGCTGAGAGCCCTAAATTTCAGTGGTCAAATGTTGTATTGTCAGTGTACTTGGGCAGCACTTTCCCAGTGCCCAGAATTAACAGCTCTCATTTCACTGCTTCCAAAACTGATGCAATGTTTGCCAGGCTTTAGGAGAGGCCAACAGCTTGACGAAAAATGCATTTGGTGTTAAGCTTGAGAGGAAAAATGGAAAAGGAATAATTACCCAGACAGATGATGGGGTGGACAAGAGGAAAAGTCCAGTAAATTACAGTTGGTTCTGTGTAGGTGTCCCGTGATGCTCAAAGGCCAACAGCAGCTGACGTGTCCAGTAAAGTACAAAGGGACTTTTCTGTGCCATCTCAGCTCTGCTTGTATAACAATGACTCAGCTCTGCAGCCCTGGCTCACAGCCAGCATTGAAATTCTGCCTGGAAGAGCATTTTTATCCCCAAAGCAGCACTGAAAGCAGCTACATGTTTGTGGGTGAAAGGGAATTAGGAACTGTGGATGTTTTTTATATCTAATAAGCAGGGAACTAGGAGTTGTGTACAGCTGACATCACACTTTTAAAAACTGCGGTGGTTCCAAGTACGTGGTTTGTTCAGGGGGAAAAAATGGCAGTGCTTGGATTTTAGTCTCTCTGTGGTGGAGGGAGAAATATTCCATATGTTTTCCTCACCATCAAAGGACCCAAGCTATATCTGAAAACAAAATGTAGGAGGCAACACCCCCGGGCTGTTCAGAAGGCCTTGACAGTGTTTGTTTTTGTTCACTGTTACAGAGGTTCTGTTGAATTTACTAACAATGATTAACAGCGGTTTAGGACTCATTTCTTCTGCCTGTTTCTTCTGACATTTATTCTTCTGTCTGCCTGTTTTCTAAGGAAATTCTTTGCTGTTTTGCTGGAAAACCTTGCCCCAGAAAGCACAAGCTAAACGTGCTCAGAGGCAGCAGAGAGGAGGTGAACAAAGAAGCTCCCTCCCTGCACTGCAGCTTGGATCGGATCCAAAACATTCCCGGGCAGGAGGCAGAGTGAAAGATGCAGGCAAGGAGTTTTAGAACAGACCTAGTTATTAGCTGTTGCTTTCACTGGCACAACACGGGGCACAAACCTGTGATTTCAGCCCTTTATAAAATGCCCTTTGGACATCTCCTTCCAGCAAAGCATGGGGAGCTGTCACAGGTCCCTCTGTGTCACCCAGACCTGCCCAAACCTGTTTCTCATGGCAGCACAGATCTGAAAGCTGAATCCCATGTATCCTACAAAGTTAAAATACACTTTAGACAAACAGGGAGACAGAGAAGTATCACTAATTTTCATCTTTTTACTGCCAATGTATTTGTTTTTCTTAATTTTTTTTTTCTTTCAGCTCCTTAAGTCAGTGGCTTCTTAAAAACCTTGTTTAGTGAAGGTATTTTTAGCACAAGGCTATAAAAACAAAATCGAGGGAATTGTCTTTTTTTGGTAATCTCAGAATATCACAGTCAATCTCACAGTACTTTGAGTTCTGACTCACTCCTTCTGTACCCCTCCAGGCTGGCAGCACAGGGACAAGCAGTGACATGCCACTGGTCTGTTTGTCTCATGGGTGGAACTTGAGCCAAGCCTGGGCCTTACTGCACTGCTACAGGCTTGGGGAGACAATATTTATCTTCACAACTGTAAATATAATTATACTGCATCGTACACAGTGAGAGGAAGGTGTGAGTAATGTTATGAGATAGGAATATATATATATATATATATATATATCTGTAAATATATATAATTTTTCCCTGTGTCAAGCAGTCCTATTTTTGTCTGAACAAAGAACAGTAACTGGACTTGCCACATACCCTGTGATGGCCTGGCTGCCTGTCCCAAGCTAAACCTGGTAGCTAAACAGATTGCCGCATGTAAAAGTGATACCTTGTTGCTATGACATTAGTCTGCTTAAAAAACAGACCCAGCTTGTGTTCCAGAATGTACAGATTCGTTGGAAACATTTCCATGACCCCAGATTCTTCTCTCCTGAAAGTAGGTTGCTCTGTACCACTGCCCAGTGACCTACTTTTGAAAAGAAATGTGTGTTCCCAACTGCAGGCCCCGTGCCCTGGCAAAGGCTGGAGCCACCTGTGCAGCCAGAGCAGTCACAAGATATAGATTTGTGGGTTTTTCAGCTTTGCATTTATTTATATACAGTTCAGAGTCAGCTGCTCCATGGTTTTTGTTCACCGAGAGCTACCAAGAGAGGAAGAGTGGAATGTTTGTTAAATGCATGTGCTTCGTACAGCCACAACAGTTCCTCCCCACAACAGATTTAGCCATTTTTAGGGAAAAAAAGAAGGGAGGCCTCCTGTGTTTTCTGGTTTACACAGAAAGGAAAAAAAAAATGACAGGAATTCCTCTTCTCTATCTACAGGAACATTAAAAAGAGAATTATGCACCCTAAAATACTTAATAAATGTGTGATGTGCTTTAACACAGCCCAGGCTTTACATTTCTCTCCAGCATTACAGATGCTTCCATATTTGTAAATATTAGTTATTCATGGCCTTTCCTGTGGGAAGCCTCGGAGCAAACCTTCAGCCACCTTGGCACCACCAAACAAAACCCACGCTGGAAACACTGAGCAGAACTGGCAGCACAAAGCAAACAAACGGGACATCGTCCAACTCTGCCTTTTGTCCTAAATTCATGTAGCCAAATAATAATTCCAAGGTTGACTATTGCCATGGAGCTTGATGAACTTTCTGGTTAGCATTTTTCCCTCTTCCTGTTCCTGTATTTTGAGTAATTATTGTTAGGATGATTTATTTCCTTTTTACTGTAAATCAGGAGGTGCTTGAAGCCTTGTTAGGAAAAGGGAAAGCAAAAGGATT